ATCCATCCATCCATCCATCCATCCTACCTTCACACGCTCTTCTTTTATCAGGCTAGCCTGAGTGACGCGCAACAGGTGCAGGTGCATACAATCCGGAAAGCACGATCTTTATGAGTAGTTCGACTCGAATGTGCGCAGAAGTTAAAGGCACAAAGGGGCTAGAAAGGAACAGTGCTAGAGTCCCACGCGAGTTTTCGCACAATGGGGGCAACCAGGATCTCAACTTCAACCCGAGTTCACAGTCTTTCAGCTCAAGGAAAGATAGGTTTTAGGTTCAGACATTCCAGCCCAGCGTATCAGAAAGCTCCACCTCCGACCCAGGTCTCTCCCTCCAAACGTGGACACCTCCAGTTCCATGCAGCACGCTCAGTCCAGGGTTGAGTGTCCGAAGGGCATAGTCATAATACGACTTAAAGACGCAAGCCCTCGAGTCGCAAGTCCTTGTTGCAAAGCGCGTCTTCAGAGTGCTTTCTGATACGTTTCGCAAGAAGGTTCGATCCTGCAAAAAGGATATTGTATTCGATTTGGCGTTCGATTTTGACTGCCGCAGCGAGATAGGCTTGCACGTGACAGTCTCAGCTTGAGGCACGACAAACCAAACACATCTTCCATGGCGGCGTGCGATGCTTGGAGTTGGCAGAGGGCTTGAAGAGACGAGAGATCTTCTGCAGGCATGCTTGGATATCTAGGGGGGTACCAGTCACCAGTGTTGTAGCTTCGTCATTTGGATGCCAGATATAGCTCACAAGGGAGCGAAACGCTGCTCAATGGCAACCGGAGCCGTTGAATCGGAAGAGCCCCAGCGCCAGAGGCCACACTCCGAAGACCCCGTTGCCAGGTCTGCGGAGCGCCTCCGGGAGGACCCCTTCTTGACGGGCCGGAAGCTGGAGGCTGTTGCCTGAGTTCTGAAGGGGGCTTCGTTGCTTCGGTCTTTGTGCGAGGCCTTCCCGGAAGCGGGTCCACCTATGTCTGCAGTGGAGCCGCAACGACTGGAGCTCGGTTTCATGCTTGTCTGTGCAAGGCTCGCTGGTTCTGCCTCTGCTCACTTCGGTTTTTCTTTGGTGATGTCGGTGCCACCTGCAATAAGTGGCTGTATCATTCTGTCATGCTGATCTCTGCAAATTGCCTCCGTTGTTGCATCTGTGATTGAATGCGAGGCGCTAGGCAGTACTCATATCTCCAAGCAAGGCTATGACGATCCACCAGCTTCGTCAAAGGCCCCTTCGTCGCCAAGTCGCTGCTTCGTAGATTTCTTGTGCAATCATCGTGACAGCTCGCAACATGTCATGCGACGTTGCAGTCTGACATTGGCTTGTTAGTTTTCTGCAGGGCGACCCACGGCCGCCGGAGGGCTCACTTCCCAATAAGCCGGGAGCCCCGCCGCACGCTTTTCACGGCATGTGGAACGATTTACAGCATCCTTGGCCCGGGCCAGGAAGAAGCATGATCCATGTTCGTGCACGCTTGTTGAGCCTGTGTACGCCAAAGATGTTTTGCCCCGAAGTCCAGGCAAAGGCGGAGTGCATGACAGCTGAGACCAGGTGGGAGTGGCCCCCTTGGTGCCTCAACTTCAAGTCTCCGAACATCGAGGCCCGGTGCATCCACTAAGATCCACGGAAGTGTCGACTCTGCATGCTCGTGTCTGTTGCAGTTTGGGACACGGAAGTCTGAGACTGTTGCACGCGGAAAAGCTGGAATGGATGTTGTCTGGATCGCCAAAAGACGACGATGCCAGCAGACCCAGCCTTGACACAGGTCTGGGTTTTCGATGATGACTGCAACGTCGGCAGGCCTGCCAGCCTCCAACAGTGAGCTTTACTTGTGTCGCCGTTATGGAACCTGCCGATCGCAAGAGACTTCATGCTAAGGTGGGTATCCGCTCAGCCGCAAAGCCGTGTTGTTGACAAGGCGGATCCCGAGTCTACAGGGCTGCCCCAAAACCCTAAACATCCCTAAACCCAGGCTTCAAAAAACCAATCGGGCCAATGCTTTGCAGTGGGAAGTGGAGGCGTTTGTTTGACTCGGTAGCCGAGATGATGGGCCTTTTTGGCATTCTGTCATTGTAGCCGGTGGGGCTGTCAATTAGATCTAAGCATGCCTTCCGGCTTTCCATTGCTGCGGACCCGTGCAGACCGGCCGCGATGCATACCTTTGTGCCGAGTATCTGTGGGATGGCGAATACTACGTCCAGGAGCCATCTTTTGTTGTCTTGTTGACTTCATTTCTTCCTGCAGCTCCTTTCCACCAGCTCTCTGTTGCCTTCCATGCAGGACTTCGGACCCCAACATGCCAGGGTCTTAGCTGGACACGGTTGCCTAACGGTTGCCTGGCGGTCGACTGGGCAACAGCTTGCTCTCGAGGTCCGCAAAAAGGGCGAGCCAAGAACCGTTTGGCAGGCGCTCACGCAGGTGCCACTGGCTTGCCGTTACGTTACACACTTGCCAGCTTGTCCTTGACTTTGAGCTCCGCGCAGCGGTGTGCCGATGCCAGCAAGACTTGCGCCTAAAGATTTTCCTCCCAGCGCTTCATGTCCTCGCCAGTCCGAACCCTACGGGAGCGCAGAGCTGGAGGCCACGAAGGCGCTGCCATCCGGATGTGCAGTTGTCGCTAGACTCCGCAACCTCGAGATGTTCAGAACCTGCAAGCTTCCAGGTCTTCAAGAAAAAAGATGAGGACGACAGCCTAATGGACACCAAGGCACATCCTTCTTGGAGACGTTCGTTGCTTCCAGAGGTTTCGGAGGACAGTGCCCAAAAGCACGACTGCAAAGAGCCCAACGAATTATCGAGACTGCACTGTCCTACTGAACCCATCCCCACAAGCTTCTAGACTGTAAACATTCTGGTCCGAGACCTCGCAGTCAAGTGTTGGAGCTCTTACTGCAACAGCACAAGCTTGCATTGGCAGGTCTTCAAGGGGAAGAAGGGAAATCCTGGGCGCGATATGGGAGGCTAGTATCGTGGTCGCGGTTTTTTTGCATTTGGACTCAACATGTGTGCTTTCTCTCACAGTTGGCTTTTTCGCAGAGTCTTGTGTGATTTTAGCAATCATTGGACAGCTTGTCCCTTGCCCTTCGTGATCAGTAGCCCACATCATATAAACCTCACCAACAAAGTGCTTCTTACTTATTTATCACAACTACTAATCAACTCAACACTAGGAAATCTTTAAGGGCTGCTGCGGGTTCTCTCAGCCGAAGTGGGCAACGGTTGTTCATGGAGTTTAGTTGCAGGTTCAATCCGAAGTGGCTAGAGCATCGTCGTGCTGCAGCACTACTAGAATTGATCTGTACGCACTTGTGAAGAGATGGAGCTTGTAGCAGGGTTTAAACCTTAACAACTTTGCCACCTTCCCGTTTCGAGTTCTACACGGCAGTCCTGCCGCTGCACTAGTACTTGCGATTGCTCATCTCAGATGCTGAACAATTTGACAGGAAGGTATACTAGCGTCTGCAATTGGGCTGTTGTCTTGTCTCAAAGTCAGTTGATGAGGTCGTGTCTATGTAGGTTTGCTTTTCACGTGTGTTACTCTTGAGTTTATTTCTGCTTTTATCGAAACACGGAATCGCGAGGAACGGGTGATTTGAAGCTTCTGAAGCTAAGTACATTGATATTCAGATTGTTGCCGGGAGCCATTATGAGCCGATTTACAAGCGATAAGTTTTAATGTGACTGTGGTTTCTGTTTGTTTGTCATAGTTTCATTGACTGGTGAGTTTTTGCTTCATTAAGAATCAAGAAACCCTGGCTGCCTGAAGGAGGCCTCGGCCTGTTAGATGCCACTCGTCGGGACTTGGGCGCCGGCTCGGCTTTGTAGTGTGTTCCTGCGCTTTTTGTGAGGGTTTCGGGTTTAGGGTTAGGCCCCAGAGCAGGTGGTTTGCTGCCCTTCTAAATTTTACTTCCGAAGGCCACCGCACTTAGGGGTTGCTGCTGCTACTATCAAGTCTCATTGCGGAGTTTTGCGATTCTTCTACGTCGAATTGGACACTGGAAGACTCCTGTCGAGTGTCGGTATGGCTTCGGGGTCGTTCCGGTTTGATTTGGTTTGGCGCTTTGAGGCCTGAAACTTGCAATTCTTTTCCATAAATGTGGAACGAATGTAGAAACTTCCCAAGCTGAAGATGAAGTCCCCGTGCCAAGGCATCTTCCTTCAACTGCAATTCAGCTACACCGATCATGGGCACAGGGAAACGTCTATCCCAAAGCCGAGGTGTTTGTGAACAGACCCAGGCTTTTGGCAGGGCTCGGAAGAGATTGTGCTGGTGTCTGCAGTCTGCAATATGATCTGCTTGCTAAGGAGGACTGAGCATGGACTACGCAAAGACGAGAATTCGCTGCTGTAGGAAAGCAAGACCAGTTTTACAGAGCGGGCTTTGCCACAGCCCTGTAGCTCTTGAACAGCTTTCAGAAGTTATTGGGCTCAAGGTTTCGAGCCCCGAGCTGGCCCGACAGCCGCAAGGGCATCCAGTAAGTTGAGGGTGCAGATGGCAAAGTTCTGAGCCGCACCGCAGGCAGTGCCTGTAGTCATGCTGACACTTAGCTGAAGGTACCAGGGGCGTCTTCTTGTACCCTGGCCCGGGAGTCTGTTGTCATAATGCCTAGTAGCAGCGGCAACATCAGCCGCTAAGGGTAGGTACTCGGGTGGTGATGACAGTGATGAGTCGTAGCTGGGTTAAAGATTCGTGGGAGGGAGATCGAGTATCAGCATTTGCTGCTCTACGGTCACTCACAGTCGCAAGTTTGTAGTACGGC